CCTCCCCGCCGCCCGCGTGTTGTGCTTGCAGCCCCGCCTGGGGGCTCGCTTTCCGTCCCTGTTACGGCGTCTATTGGGGAGCGCCCAAGCCCGCTTTCTGACGTCCCTCGGAGTACAGAGTGTAAGCGCATCCGGGCGACCGCTCCTTTGTCTGAAGACGAAGTTCCTGGTTGTTTCCGACGCCATGTTTTTCTCCCGTGGGCGGTGGAGGCATCGGAGCTTCGTGCATTTGCGGTGTGTCGTCCCTCTCGCAAAATCGGAACCATGCAAAGCTTCTTGTGTTTTATATTACCGGCGCATTGCAGGCTGATAAATTTAATAGTTGGGGGTAGATGGGTTGCTGAAAGAGAGAAATTCTAATACTATTGCAAGTTATTATTGTCTTGGGTTGAGAGCGGCTTCTGACAACCATGAAATGTGGGCCAAGACATTTTAATGCCTAGCAAAACTCTAAATGTTGTCCCCCTCCTAATCAAGGTGTGAAAGAGACAGTATTTGATACCTGAGGGAATAAGCAGTAGAAATGTAACAATATAACAGTAATAATTTTATATGACACCCAACACTGTTGATATTTTAAATGATGATAATAAAATTTTATTAAATGTATATGCTGCCCGACTCCAACCACTCGCATGCAGACCTTTTGTGCTTTACTTGCCTGGCAAGCAGAAGTCTTAAGTAAATCTCATATAAAAGAAATTAGGGGACATATATTATAAATGTAGTATGAGGACAAGGATGTTCTAAGTGACAAACATTTTAAGCCTCCAACCCTGCACTCCTGTACTTCCTCACTGTATCTTAAGCACATTGATACTAGAAACCTTGAACTATCCCAGTGATGGTGAACCTTTCGGGTTGGCGTGTCAAAAATTCAGAAAATGCCTAACTTGACTCTTGGTGTGTCACACCCCCCCGAACAAAAGAAACAATTGTTTACATCAATTTATTTTTAAAAAATACAGTCCAATCATGCGTGGTGCTATGTATTATATAAAGAAACTTCAAATAATTACCAAAATGAAATACGAGTAAAACAAATTGAGTTTCTTTGGTAACTGAAACAGGAAGAATAGTTGTCAGGTGTTGGTGAATGCTGGCGTGTCACCCAAAACATGGTGTGTCACCTTTGACGTGTGTGTCATAGGTTCACCATCACTGAACTAGCCTCAGCTCCATAATTCTATTTACCACAGTACTGAAAGTAGCTGATTACAAATCTGTTCATCTTAGAATGTCTGTGCAGTCAGGATGGTATGTGATTATTTGTCATCAAGTTGTTGCTGACTCTTAGCGACCACATAAATTTTCTCCTGAATTATATGTCTCTAACCTGGTCTTTCAGGTCTTCCAACAGTGCACTCATCACCACTGTAACTGAGCCTTGCAACTGAGAATGAAGATAGTAGCCTTTGCCTTTTAGGATCAACTATCAACATTAAGGGAACAGTCAAGAAATAAGCTGCAGACTTAGCACTTGATATTGCAGCCATGAAGGCCTTGATAGAGTAGCCATGAAGATATTCAAATGTTTTGTCTATACCACAGAGATCAAATTGTGCAAGCCTCTGTGACACTCTATGGAAGCAAAAATTGGACTTTGAAGAAGCTGGATAGGAAGAATATTGACACCTTTGAACTTTGGTGTTGAAGTCTTCTGAGAATACTGTGGACAGCCAAGAAAACAAACCGATGGATCACCAAATAATTCAACCCAGAGTTCTCACTCGAATTACAAATGGCCAGTCCTATTTCAGACACATTGTACGAATACCCAGCTCTCTGGAAAAGGCTCTAATGCTGGGGAAAGGTGAAAGGAAAGAAAAGAAGAGGATGACCAGCAGCAAGGTGGGCAAACTCGTTACAGTAGCGATGAGTGCACTGTTGGAAGACATGAAAGAGCAGATTAGAGATAGATCATCATGGAGAAAATCTATGTGGTCTCTAGGAGTCAAAAACTACTTGATGGCACATAATCAATGTGAAGCACCTTTTTTTTTGTAATAATTTTATTAAAGTTTACAAATACAAAGTTAAAAGAGTAGTACAAACTAAGAGAAATATAAAAAGTGAGGAAAAGAAAAAGTGCAAAAAGAGAAAAAAGAAAAAAGAAGAAATATATAAGTGACTCCCACCTCCCTGCAGACAAGTATAAACAACTTCTGTAACTTAACACCTTCTCTAGTATTTCAGTAATAAAAAAGATCTCTTCTTCCCATAACTTATCACTTATCAATAAACAAATTATAAAAATTCACCATTGTTATATTCAGCAAAAGTCAGTTAAGAGCTACCAGAAATAATAATATATATATTTTAACCTGAATGAAATAAATCCAAGTTGTGCTCCAACTTATCACTTTAAGAAATAAAGCAAAAGAAATCTTTCCCCAACTATAAACAGATCTTTAAAGCATTGTTATTCAGTCCTGGTCATAAAGAAATTCCATTAACAGCTACAAAAAACCACTACAGTGGTACCTCAGGTCACGAACGCTTCTGTTCATGAACAATTCGGTTTACAAACAGTACCGTTCACAAAATTTTGCTTCCGTTCGTGAACTCCGCATCGGGTGACGAACACGACCCGTGGCCATCTTCCCTGCTCTGACACATGGTCGTGGCTTCCTGTAGGGAGGGGGAATGACCAGGACTGAATAACAATGCTTTAAAGATCTGTTTATAGTTGGGGAAAGATTTCTTTTGCTTTATTTCTTAAAGTGATAAGTTGATGACCAGGACTGAATAACAATGCTTTAAAGATCTGTTTATAGTTGGGGAAAGATTTCTTTTGCTTTATTTCTTAAAGTGATAAGTTGTGGTCTCTAGGAGTCAAAAACTACTTGATGGCACATAATCAATGTGAAGCACCTTTTTTTTAATTGTAAATTTGATTTGGTTGGCGACCAAAATCGGTTGGCGTCCAAATTCGTAGGGGTCAGAACGGATTAACCGTATTTACATTGAACCTTATGGGAAAATTTGATTCGGGTCGTGACCAATTCGGGTCGCGACCAGAGTCGCAGAACGAATTAAGTTCGTGACCAGAGGTACCACTGTATATATATATTTTAACCATGATCAAATACATTCACTTCGTAGTCCTTCTATTTACTTTTTAAAAGCTTGGTCTTTAATCCCTACAAATAGTGTCCCACAAGTTAATTTCTTATCTTTTTCTCTTTGTCTCCTCTCAGGAACAGCTTCAGTAGTTTAACAGGTCCCTTTTATAAGTCCAAAATGAAAAAACTATGCAGTTCACTCTATTGATTTATTATTTGTATGTCCCCTGTAGTTATTAAAACATCAGCCAGTTTCATCTGTAAATCCACTGTGGCATCTTTTTCCATGTCACTCTTATAGTCTATCATTTTTAAATCTGTTTTCAAATCCACATCATCTTTTTCCATATCACTCTTGTAGTCTAGCGTTTTTTTAGAATCTGTTTTCAAATCCACATTCAAATCAGCTTCAGTCTCTATTTTATCCTGTAAAATCTGTCCTCTTCTGTAACCTGTTAA